AAGAGAGAAAGAAACTCTGTTAAATTATGTGTCATTTGCCAATAAGAATCAAAGAAAGGACTTCCATTTCTACATCAAGCCTCAGTGACCAGGAGGTTTTAGCCAAAGATAGCCCCTGATTTGAGAATCACTGCTCTAGTAAAGTGGCTCAATGGGAAACACTTTTCACAGTCCAGACTGGTTCCCTGTAGGGCTTTGCCAATGCTATTATGAATTTGGCATTAACACTCTAGAAATAATAAAATCATCCACAGAAATCAGAGAGAATATAAACAAAAACAAATACAATGATATTTAGAATGGATGTCTAGCATGTCTGCATGCTTGGTGGTGAGGAGAAAGATCATAATCACATTGTTCTGTGACTGTCATCCAGGTGAATGAAGTAAAAATGTGGAGATAGTAGTTGCTATGAACAATTGATAGCTCAGAGATGGCTTCCTAGCCACTACAATGAACTGTCCTTTGGTCTTAGTTTCATTGATGCTGAAACAATGCATCTAAGTCAGGGAGCTCTTAGACAAACCAAAATTTATCACTGCAGATAAACTTAATTATAAACGTTCATATGCTGACATTATAACATTTTCATCTTTATGTTAGTAATAGTTCTGTCTTCTCTAACAGATGGTATAATCCTTATGAACAGAAATGGCTATATTCATCTAAAAATGTGGATTTTGCAGCTGGTCTGCCTGGACTTCTAAATCTTTATTATTATTAATATTAAAGATTCTATTTATTTATTTTAGACAGTGGGGAAGGGAGGGAGAGAGGGAGAGAAGCATCAATGTGTGGTTGCCTCTCATGAGCCCCCTACTGGGGACCTGACCTGGCCAGCAACCCAGGCATATGTCCTGACTTGGAATTGAACCTGTGACCCTTTGGTTCTCAAGGCGATGCTCAATCCACTGAGCCACACCAGCCAGGGCTAAATCTTCTTTATTATTATATAAACATTTCTACTATAATTGCTAAGAGGAATGAGTCAAACACTAAAGCCAAACTGTATTTTTGTTGCTTTGTGTATTTTTATTGGGCTGCTTTCCAAAACAGATTAATGGGTATTATAATCTAGGTCTGCCTATAAGGAACACCCTACATATATATACATACACACATGCACAACTTTAGTAAATTGTTTAAGGGTATTTAATGCTGGTATAATTCTGCCATTAAATTCAACTACATTTTCTCTAAATTTGAACTCATTTGAACTCATTTGAATTTGAACTCAGACCACATGGAGACAGTATTACAGCAGATATCACCCATGCAACTCAGTACTTAATCTTCATAGTTCTCCTCCAGTAAATCTTATTCTATTAAAATTGCCTGAGTTATCCAAATAAATAATTGAATTGGTAAGAATGAAGATTAGTTATTCATCATGAAGATGATGGGAATACATATGATATTGTTCTTGTCCTTCAGGAACTTTAACATAAAGAAAATTTTTTCCTTTTCCTTTTTATTTTTAATATTTTATTTATTTATTTATTTTTAGAAAGGGGAAAGAGAGGGACAGAAACATCAATGTGTGTTTGCCTCTTGCTCCCCCCTCACCGGGGACCTGGCCTGCAACCCAGGCTTGTGCCCTGAATGAGAATTGAACTGGCGACCCTTTGGGTGCAGGTTGGCAATGCATTGAGCCAGGGCTGAATTTTTTTTATTTTTAAATAAGCATATGTAAACAATAAAAAATAGTAAACAGGAATTCCTGTGAAATGTAAGAAGCAATCACTTAGGTGTACATTGTTTTGCCTCTGAGGTTCAGGCAATTCTAACTACAGTACTGTAGTCTCAGCAATAGATCATGCTGAATAACTACTTGTGCTCTATAACACCAGAAGCTCTGTATGTTTTTCCAAACTTCATAAAAAATAGTAACAGAGAAAAAGATAAATCTGGGTAGAAATCAGTCCAGGTACTGAAGATGTTATTAAAATAAATCTATGAAGGCACATGCTTCTTGAAGTCAAGCTTTTTCAAAATTCATTCATTTAGTACATGCACGGCATACCAGGGTAGAGCATGGGAAGATCACTGGGGTAGGTGACTTGGGTTGTAGTCCTTACTCTTACACCTTTTTTTCCTTTTTTTGCAGCACAACTTTGGGTAGATTGCTTAATCTTTCTGAATTTGAGTTTTGTTATTTACAAAGATGGTTGTTGTGAGGTTCAAAAGACACAACAAATATGGAAACTCCCTTGATAACTGGGAAAGTACTAAGCAAGGTAAGGTCCACAAGAGAATTGAGAGTCTAGTAAAAAACCCACCAAAGAATGTTCTTGTTTTGAACACTGGTTAGAAACATCTAACATGTAAATTGGGGCTAACAATTCTTTTTCTTTTAAACCAGAGATTAGAGTTAGAAAGTGTCCAGCCTTCTGCTGTGGGATTATAAGGTCACTGTTAAATGGGAAGAGTACTCCCATCATTAGTAGCATTCCTTACTCTGTCCTGTTCTTCTGTCAAAAAATCAGTTGGAATAATTAACCATCTGGGAAATACCATATTGCACGTTCAGGATACATTAATTAAAGTAGGAGGCAAAAGTAGACCCTCTGATTTCTTTCCTGGAATAAACTTGTAGAAGTAAAGTTGCTAGACCAGGTTCTTGATACATGTAACTACATAATACTGCTTAGGAAGGTGGTAACAATTTCTACTCCTAGAAAATCTTACAATCTTTCTGATTACCAGTTTGACTCACCTTTTACTATCTTACATAATTTAATAACTCGAAATCTTCAAGACTCATTTCTCTCTTTTCCTTCCTCACAGTACTCTACTGGATATGCATGAAAGGATAGCACAGGCTAAGTGTTTAAATGCTTCTGCAATGGTTTACCGCTCCTCTTAGGATAAATCCAAACTTTAATAGTTTATACACTCTGGGTAAAGTGGCCTCTTGTTCCCTCTTCAGCCCCATCTTTCACCACCAACTTCTCTCAAACAAGCCAACTGGCTCTTATCTTTAGATTTCGTTCAAGCTATTACTTGTGACTGGAACACCAGATTTTACAGAGAGCTCAGTGTTCAGACAGCATTTCTGACTAGTGATAGTAAAAATGTCCCCTTTCATACAACTAAGAATATTGATTTCAGACTGACTGCAAATACCTGTGGAAAAACCAATAATTTGATTTTTCAGCCATTCAGGTTTTGATGTGGAGCAGGTTTTGATATGGGCACTGTACTCTTGAAGAGGAAGAGTCTTGGGGTGTATGTCACTGGGGATAGAGGAAGGTAGAGAATGAACTCTTATGAGTGTGAAGTACACTCCTGCTTCAACCCAAATAAATAAAAATATTTTTATACATTCTAGTTTTATGAAAGCTATAGAACAAGTATATGACTTTTAAAATTTACTAAGAAAAGCAACTCAAGTATAAGTTATTAATGTTTCATATTTTTTATACCTAAATGATACACTTCTACAGCAGTGACAGACTAAATTTTTTGATCCTCTCAGCTAATACACAATTGTTCTAATTACTTAAAAAGTGTAGTGAATGTTTCTCAAGGGCTCCTAATAAGGAGACATAGTTCCATTGGTACAACAAACTCACTTTTAACCAAAATGATAAGCATGAGTTGTTTTTGTGATTTAATGTTCTGGTTAACAAGATTTTCAGCTCCTATACTGCCATTGTCCTCATCATCCTCTGGCCAGGCATAATGGCCCTGCCTTTGGTCTTATACCTCTTGATCAATGCTCTGCATCAGAGAGATAAACAGGCTTCTCTCATTGTGCAAGCCCCTAGTTCAAAATTCTTCAATAACTCTTCATCACTGCAGGAAAGTGCTTAAGTAGTTTATTATAGAATCCCTGATCTAAGCTCACCTACCTCTCTAGGTCCATCTACTGTCCCTTTCTCACATACTTTCTTTTTAAAAACTATTTTATGTATTTATCTTTAGATGGGAAGAGAAGGAGAGAGGGAGAGAAGTATCAATGTGTGGTTGCCTCTTGTGCGTCCCCTGCTGGGAACTGGCCTACAACCCAGGCATGTGCCCTGACTGGGAATCAAACCGCAATCCTCTGGTTCGCAGGCCCGTGCTCAATCCACTGAGCTACACCAGCCAGGACTTCTCACATACTTTCCTTAAATTTTATTGAATCCTCCCCTGAGGACATGGTTACTAATTTTAGAGAGAGGGGAAGAGAGGGAGAGACAGGGAGAGAAACATCAACGTCAGAGAGAAACATTGATTGGTTGCCTCTCCTCTGTGCCCTGACTGGAAATCGAACCCACAACCTTTCCTTTTATGAGACAATGCTCCAACCAATTGAACCATATCAGACAGGGTGCTTTCCTTCAATTTTTACAAACCACTCATTCTTAGCCATGTGCAGTCTCTAGAATATTCCATAGTCTCACACATTGTGGCACAACTCCACATGTCTTCCCACAATACTGTTACTCATCTTCCACTCTTCATCCAAAGGATCCCCATTCTAAAGACTTTTCCCACTTCCCTAGCTAAGGTCATCCTTCTCCCATGTTCCTCCTATATTTATTGTACCCATCCATTACAATAGTCAAAATATATTGAGACTCTTGGAGTACCTTTCCTTCCATATAATGGGCTGCTATGTCTTCCCATTTTTCCCTTGAGCACTATGCTCCAAGTCTAGTAGTTTATAATTTTTAATAAAATCATAAATACATTAAATATCCTATCTTTAATGTGGAATTTTATAGCTACTTATTTGTAGTTATTATTCCACTGATAATTAGTTATTATTCTCAAATAATTCTATGCATATTATGTTATTTCATAAAAAATCTAACCAGCTATGGCATATGAACTCATTGAACATATAAACTGAAGAACAAATCAATAAACCATTGTGTGTTTTAAGGACAAGAAACTCTAAGCTTAGGATCTTTTGTCAAAATATAGCAACAAGATAAAAATAAATAATCTGGAATTCAGCCAAAAAAGTCTCTGAATCAAAGCTGTATTACAGAGTCTGAAATTTTACTTACATGATATAGTGTGGTCTCTGGCACAGGTGTGCCCATGATGTCTTGTCTCAATGTATCCATTTGCAAACTGGGTAGCAATGAATAGTGGGTCGGGCTATTACTCTTATCTCCCTTCTTTTTAGACTTCTTCCCCGTGTCTTTTTTGCTGTTTCTCTGAAACATGTATTCTTCTTGAGCAATTTTTTCATTGCTCATGTATCGGAGTAGAGAGTTTTCTATATAAAAAGAGATAAATACACCAATATAAATATGCAAATATTCCAAATTTACTATTTCCTAATTGTGCTATTAAATTTCATTTCAGAAAAATAACTTGATTTAATTTATAAAATAGCTATGTAGTAAAAAACAGAGGACCTTATTATTTGGGACCATAGGGCAATAAGAAATAGAAAACATAAAAATTATTATCTCCAAGTTTTATCTCTTAACCAACTATATCAGAGTCACTTGCAGAACCTAAAGCAGAAGCTCCCCCAGGGGAATTCTGCTAAAAGTTGATGAGAAACACAAATCTATGGCAGGCTAGGTAGCATCCTTGAAGAAATCAAAGTCCACATTATAAAACAATAGAAAGGAAACTTAGTTTATAAAATCTATGCTTAAATTCATAGCCAGCACTTAGTACTTCATAAGGCTTCCCCCCACCCCAAGATGTCACTATCCTATGAAGTTCCAGAGAGTGACTCAGAGATGGCATATGATAAGCATTTTGCTTTTTATATTTTTCTTGATTACTTCTATAAGGCAAGTGAAGTTAGAAACTGAAGTTAAAAAATGGAATGAATACATAGATGTAAAGAAATCTGTCCAAGTTCCTGTATTTAGCAACATTTTCAGCAATGCCTGCTCCATAAAACAAGTGTTAAGAAGACTAATGAAGCAGATATTCATGGTTGCTTATCCCTGTGTGGTCTGTGGATTTGTGTAGCAATGAAATATATTCTGTACATCAGACAGAACAGACAAATGGGTCAAACATACTCTGATGAAGGTTTGTGAGCTTAGTTTTTATGAATAATTTTTGCTTTGTTTGGATTTGTTTTATTTTTCTTCTACAACTTTATGGCTCTTGATCTCAGAAAGTGGAAGTAGCAGCATGACCCACTGGGCCCCCCATATCTACACTTGGTTGAATACATTTAGTAGTGTGACTTTCAGTTGTCCTCTTTACTGCTCACCTCAATGCAGGATAAGTGAACATAAAAACTTACTTTTGGTAGATACTTCAAGTGTAGCCCACCCCCAGTAAGAAGATAACCCTGAACAGCAAACAGAAGAGAAAAAAGAGCAAAGCAGATTTTTTCCATTTCTATATGGTTTTCATTAGAGTCACTGGCCCAGTTTCCATTACTTTTTATCCATATGCTCACTGATCATTTTAAGGCTGTATTAACATAAAAGTGGTGAGGCTGCATCGCGGACTAATGGGGACTGATCACAAACTCTATTTACTAAACTTTTATGCAGTTTCACACTTCTGACCTTGTTTTCCAAATGTTAACTTTCAAATAACAATCAGATATTCATTTTCACACTGCACTTATCTACCCTGAATGCCTTAGGAGGCATTCAGAGAAGATATCTACTTAATAACAGATCAAGATCATCAAATATTGGTCTGAGTCTGTTTGGGTGTACCATTACATTAATGAGAGAATTAAAATTTTCTACTGAAGCCATAACATCCTATTTAAAGAACATTTAAATTTGCTTTTTGTTCCAACAACCCAGCCTACACTGAAATTCTAGAACACTTACCTCTTCTACTATCTCTCTTCATCTTATTTGGATCTTCATAGTCCCCCACCCAATTATATTCCACTGGCATAGAAATAGGTCGTAGCTTGCCTAAACACAGAGAACAAAATTCACATCACATTGTTTTTCTTCCCCATGTCCGCTTAAACTTACACTGATTTTTAGCTACAGTCTGCAAAACACACTCAATCATATGCAACATTATGGTTGGCATTTGTGTAGATGAAAAATGTGTGTGTTTTGAGCCAGAAGGTGAAACTGCCTGTGGCAATTGGCCAGGTGATAATTCAAACATAAGGTACTTTTTGTAAATAATAAAGAATAGCCTAGGTTTGCTCTCTAGGGCAGACTTTGGAGGTGGTCCTTTACAAAGAAGATCATTATTTTAGTGAATTTTACTTCATTTTCAGTAACTGGATCTCTATCTTATTCCCCAATGCCCTCCTGTCTATATATTGATAGCCGATCTCCAACATAGTAGCTCCTTGTATTTAACCTGCATTCTAGGACATTAACCCATTGTTTCATACCAGGACACCACAGTACTAACTTCCCATCTTCGCTGCCTCCTAACTCCTAATACTTTTTGGATGCTCTCATGCTTCAACATTATACCTGGATTCTCTTTCGAAACTTATAGCTGGGTCTGCCCCAAATGTCTCTTGTTATTGTGAATAAATAAGTTTAGTTTTCAGATCCAACTATTCACTGCTTTGGCCTGTCCCATTTCCCTCTGGGTCTGTAGTCTTATTAAACAACATTTAATTTCACAAGAACTTATGGCATAGACTTCAAGGATATCTTTTTGGCGAGGCTACAGTGTATTATTTTTGATCAACTCGAAATCCTGAAGCATAAAACAGTGAAAAGAATTATACAAAAGTTTAAGAATTATATCTAGCACAATATGTGGCATACAGTAGTTGCTTAAAAATTTTTGAATTGATAAAGCAAAGAGTCACACAGGCCTGGATGATAATAATAATGATGATAATTATGATAATGATGATCATGTTAATGACACTAACATATATATCATTTACCATATGTCACATAATGTCTAAGGGTTTTATAAGTACTAACTTGTTTAATTCTCATAATTATGGAAAATATACTATCATTATCCTCATTTTGTTAGATAAAGAAACTGAGGTAGGTTATGTAACTTGCCCAAAGACACTCAGTTGGTAAGTGTGCAGTACCAGGATTCAAACTCAGTCATTCAAATACCACTTCTGCCTTAATTCTTGGTGACCTCAATACTCAGCTTCCAATATTCTGGCCTCACAGTTTCTCATTTATCCATTCCTGTAGTCATATACTTAATCTTATAATCTGCAAAGGTTGTAATCCCTCCCTATATCCCGTTTTCCAACTACCACCTTCTACATTTCTAGCATACCCTTATAGACATCCGACTATTCTTCCTCCTTTAATCACAAATCTTCCCACCTTCCAACACCTCTAGGTCACTGTATGTCTTCATTTCCCTCCTTGCCCAACTAAATTTCATAATCAATTACTATAACCATTCCATATATCTAAAAAGATTCTACTAGAAGACTTCTAATTCTGTTCTAAAGGAAATTTGCCTGCCTTATGGCTTTTTAAAAAAAGTATTTATTTATTTTTAGAGAGAGGAGAAGGGAGGGAGAAACAGAAGGAGAGACACATCAATGTGTGGTGGGTTGCCTCTTGTGTGCCCCCCACTGGGGACCTGGCCTGCAACCCAGGCATGTGCCCTGACTGGGAATCAAACTGGAGACCCTTTGATTTGTAGCCTGTGCTCAATTCCCTGAGCTACACCAGCCAGGGCCAAACTTATGGCTTTTTATTATGTACACTGATACAGTTTACTTAGTATATTTTGCTAAGCACTTTGAAAATATGGCAATGCACTAAACATGATAAAATAATTAATGAGCCAAAACAGGCAGTGTTTATTTAATGGCTTCCTTTCAAGACATGTAAACAACTTTATAAACAATTACCTAAGATTCTAAAATTCTCATGGAGTAGATCTTTACACTTTTGCAGAGCAAATTTGGGTGAGTTGATGCAGGTCCATATATTCTGCCCAATGAGAAAAGGGGGAAGGGTTTTAGGAAAGGTCCCGTTTTCTCATGTCTATTCAACTTTTTTACACAATCAGTCCTCTGGATTTTCAGTGTTGTGCATGCTGTATTTTCAAACATTTCTTTGGAATCTGGTTTCAAAAATAAACTCCATTCAGCAGTTAACAGCTCTAACACTGTTTCTACATGTCACAAAGAAAACCTTTGAAAAGTGAGCTATTCAATAAATAAGCCATTATTTTTACTTGCTCTATATGTTATATATACATATATACATACATAAACTAACTTGATACTTTTTGAATAATTGGTTGGTTGTTTGGAGTCAAATATGTGCACAAAACAATAAGAAAAGTATTTCACACAGAATAGAAAATACATAATTGTACTCATTGTATTTTGGTCTATCTTCTCTGAGATTCTCATGGATCTAAGGTATTGAGACATGTAATTCAGGCTTTGATATGTCTGTGTACATCAGTAACCATAGGAAAAATTTGTGGAAGGTTTAAAAACTGACTTTTCATGGGATAGTTTTTTAAAACAGAGGTATGCTATACTACTAATACAAAATTGAGGAAAATACATTCAATTAGACAAAAATAACATAAAAGTTTTAATTAAAGTTTACATTTGGAGGACATCAAGTTTTTACCTTTACTAGTTATAAAGTTATGAATTTAGCAATGTAAATCAAAATAAGTGTTTTGATAGCCAAGAGTTGGAAGCAACCTAGGAGCCCGACAGTAAATGAATGGATCAAAAAATTGTGGTACATATACACAATGGAATTCTATGTAGCAGAGAGAAAGAAGGAGCTACTACCCTTTGCAACAACATGGATGGAACTGGAAAGCATTATGCTGAGTGAAATAGGCCAGGTGTTGAAAGACAAATACCATATGATCTCACCTTTAACCATATGATCTCACCTTTAAGGAAGCTAAATAACAAAATAAACAAGCAAGCAGAAAAAAAAAACAAAGACACTGAAATAGAGAACAAGGGGACAGTGACCAGAGGAGAGAAGGAAGGGAAGTTAAGGGGGAAAAAGGGGAGGGATTTGGAGGAACAAATAGGAAGGACACAGGGACGAGAACTAAGGGGGGTGGAAATGGGAGGTAGGTGGGGAGCAAGGGGCGGGGGAGGCTGGGATGGGAGAAATAGACAAAAAACTGTACTTAAAAATAACTAAATTAAAAAAAATGAGAAAAAAAGAAATATATATAAATATATGTATACATACACATGCTTAACGGCCTATAAGTATGTAAGTATATGTGTGCATGTACGTACATATAATATGTATTATATAAAATTTCTGTAGCACCATTGAATCATTTTAATTATGGCAATAGTTGTAGACAAATTACATAACTGTACAGTAAAATTAATCTAATAATCAATTATACAATTTAATTATTAAAAATAAGTGTTTTAAAAATTAAAGTGCATGTTTGTTTAGTTATAACATAATGTTGCTTATAAGTATTGCTCATTTTATAAATTTTTCATTGTAATAAAATATCAAAACAAACTTAAAACAGTTAAAGTAATAATACAAGTAACATTCTGATATAAATAGTAGTCATTGGTGGATTAAAAAATAGACAATGGCTTAAATTATTTCTAATACCAAATACACAGACCTTTGCAGCTTGGAAATGTGTGCTACTGAATGTATTTAGCAGCATTTTAATTTCATAAGATAGCAAAGTTCAAATGGAAAAGGAACTTCGTGGTTTGATGCTGTAGTGTTGTTGGTAAAAAAAGAGTACTATACATATTATTGTTAGATTTAAATAAAATGTACACTATTAATAACACATGCTAAGTGTTTTTAAGACATTAAATAAACACATGTGGCTCATTCCAGTTTAAATATGCATAATCTAATAATATATCTCTGAAAATTAATCTGGAAAATTTAAAGATGTTTCTCTAGGTAGTAACACTATTTCATGATAAAAACTTATAATAGTCAAGAATATAGTAAAAAATAAAAGGCCCTTAAAATTTTGCTGAGCATTTCCTTTCAAAGTAATTTTTATTCCTCTAAGCATAAAGCATTTATTAGCTATTGAATTCATTTGATGACCTATCATAAGTCTTGTGATATCTCTGTGCTAGTGCTTCATGGTTAAACTATTATTTTGTTACTATATTTAAAACATTTTTAAATTTATTTTAATTGTTGTTCAAGTAGAGTTTTCTGCCTTTTACTCCCATCCCAGCGCACCCTCCCAGTGCTGCCCACTTCCCTCCCATTTCTACCCTCCTTAGTTTTTGTCCATGTGTCCTTTATACTAGTTCCTCTGAACCCTTCTTTCACTTTTCCCCTGAAATTCCCTCCCCCCTCCCCTTGGTCCCTGTCAGCCTGTTATCTATTTCAGTGTATTTGATTATATTTTGCTTGCTTGTTTGTTTTGTTGTTTAGGTTCCTGTTAAAGGTGAGATCATATGGTATTTGTCTTTCACCACCTGGCTTATTTTACTCAGCATGATGCTTTCCAGTTCCATCCATGCTGTTGCAAAGGGTAGGAGCTCCTTCTTTCTTTCTGATGCACAGAATTCCATTGTGTAAATGTACCATAATTTTTGGATCCATTCATTCACTGATGGGCACCTAGGTTGCTTCCAGCTCTTGGCTATTGTAAATTGTGCTTCTATGAACATTGGGGTGCATAGGTTCTTTTGGATTGGTGTTTCAGGGTTCTTAGGATATAATCCTAGCAGTGGAATTGCCAAGTCAAAAGGCAGGTCCATTTTTAGTTTTCTGACAAAACAAACAAGCAAGCAGAAAAAAAAAAACCCCAAAAAACAAAGACACTGAAATAGAGAACAAGGGGATAGTGACCAGAGGGGAGAAGGAAGGGAAGTTAAGGGGAAAAAGGGGGGGAGGGATTTGGAGGAACAAATAGGAAGGACACAGGGATGAGAACTAAGGGGGGTGGAAATGGGAGGGAGGTGGGGAGCAAGGGGCGGGGGAGGCTGGGATGGGAAAAATAGACAAAA